AGTTAGTGGTGAAGATCATGGAAGAGCAAGAAACATATAAAATAAAATAAAAACTAATAATGTTTTTTTTTTTCAAAAAAAAAAAAATAAAAAAAAGGTGGAGAATCTATATATAGAACTTTTGTTATAACACTTTACTTTTTAGAGTTCTTTTTGCTATATGCTCCAGTTCTCTACGTATCAAAACAAAGGACATTGAATAACAGCAACAACATTAATTTTCAATAACTAAAATGTCAAGTACAGATTGAATTCTTTTAACCAGTACTTGTCTTTAGTACAATATTGTACATATTTTTTTTGGTACTAATAATAAAGTAATACTGTGAGATTTTATCAATTGATAACAATAATAAGTACGGAGTAATAATAATGTTAAAGTAGTTTTCAGAAGAAAAAAAAAATAGTACGTGGTAATAATGTTAAAGTAGATACATAGGGTTGCTTTTTTTTTTTTTTTTTTACAATTAAAGAAATTTTATTAGTATTTTTATTAAAATGATGTTTGATTTTATATCGATCCTTTTAATTATAAAAGAATTTGTAGAATTAGAATTAATAAAAGTGATCCCAAAATTCGCAATTAGAAAATTCTGGCCTAGTTGGTACGTGACCATAAATGATATTGTGATAATAATAACGGTAATAAATTTGTAATAAAAATCAAGTTTTATTCTTTTGAATGGTAATGGAGAACGAGAAGAAAACACATACTTGAGGATGAAATTCCGTAGCTATTAGAGAACCAATTCAACCAAAAGTTAAAGTTATTTGCGGTATGATCCCTTCTCATCTAATACCATGATGTAGGGGACCAATTTAATCAAAGTTTATTCTAATAGTTGAAGCCTAAGTTCGGTTTATATATTCCACCAATTGCGTCACCATTTAATTTCTTTCCTAATTTACACTTAAAATTTAATTGTCATTACCACTATTATTTATTGCCGGCTACCAAATAGGCCGTAACTCGTAAGGCTTATGATTTACTATGCTATTTAACCTGCTTGTATTCTCCCTTGCTTCCTTTAATTTATTCTCTCATATAAGTTTCATACTACGACTATTAACAATTTCGTTTGTTATAAATGGTGCATGTGTTTTATTATTCGGTTTTTGCTCATCTAAACTAACCTGAATTTATCTAGACTTAGTTACAGCTGTAAATTGAAATTATAAAACTCTTATCTCCCCTTATTAGAATTTATAAGAGGTTATTATACCAAAATTTATTTTATTATAACTTATTAACCCTTATATGAATTTATTTTTCATCAAATTTGTGGGAAATAAACTTAGGTGAATAAAACATGACCAAGCAAGCTCTCTCCGTACATCTACAATATATGAGGTTGGTTAAAACTTCTACTTCTATTCAAATTTATTAGTTTCGTTTATGAAAATAAATAAATTATAAACTATGAATATATAATTTATCAAAGAGGGAATAAAATTACAAACACCAAAAAGATTATCCAAAGTTTAAAATTTTAGAATTTCCAGATTTCTTCTATAGGCAAGTTGAATTCCCCTTTCCTCTAGAAGATTCTATATTCTTTTACTTTCTTTCCAATTTCAATCAAAGGAATGATGTAAATGTGGTACTATGCATAAGTTTTTTGAAGTATAATGTAGTTGATTCGATTGCACATTTGCACAAAAATATGCCAATTGCCAATATTGCCAAAGGTAAAATAGGGGAAATAGGCCCCCTAAACCCTAATATTAATAATGCCCAAAATATGGACTACGTTATGAATTTGGACATTGTGCATTTGTTGTACTTTGCCTAATTCTTCAAATCAATATTTCCTTATTTAATTCTTTATTCATCTCTTTCTTTCAAATTGTACCATTGATTTATTTTGTTACAAAATCCACCACTAAAATGAGAATCGGATTCTTCTAAAAAAAGGGAATAAATACTTTTATATTTCTTTGGAAAAATCCTTATTCTGCATGCACCTTCCATAATAAAGGAGATGCAATTTGTTGGAACAATTTTTTTTACGTCACTGCTTAGCTTGCTTAATCCTGCACGAATAAAATATGCTTTCTTTGGATCTATCCTTTTTATTTAATTTTTTTATTTGATGAAATTAATTTATTTTTCAACGAATTTTATGAAGGATTTTGTTGTTACTAGCCAAAGTCCTATGAAATGCACGGTTTATCATTACAATAATATATAATTCAACATTTTTTTTACAAATTATTCTCTAATAAAAAGTGTGATAAAGGTCCATATTCTGTAAAAAAAATAAAATAAAATAAAATAAATAAATAAATAGTAAATTTTAGGCTGTATGGTCAACTTAATTAGCTCAAGAGAAAACAGAAGTGCATATGATACTAAATAGATAATGGTCCGTCCTAGACTTCCTAGTATGACAAACAATTATTTTAAAAACCAATATTGTGCATCCATTATAAAGTTATCTTAAAACTAGTTTTGTTCCCGTGTAATGCACAAATTTATAAAGTATGATATAATAATAATGAATTAAAATAGAGTTAATTGAAATTAAGATAATGTCTATCCTTAAAAAAAATTTTGATAGAATTTTTTTAAAAAAAATCATTTTGGAGGGAATTTTTTTCATAAAATCATGCCAAGTGTCCCTCCGGTGATTAGTTTAGTATATTACTCCGTAGTATATAAGTATAGATGATAAAAAATTACCATATAATAAATGAAAAAGTTACACAGACCCTATTATAAATAAAAGTTATACTTTGTTGATAAAAGTTCTCAAAAAAGTCTAAAAGTTGCCCTAAATTTAAAAAAATATACATCCGATGTACTACATCGAATGTATTATATACAAAAGTTCTAGTATATGATCATGTAAGGAAAGTTATGATTTTGTTTCAATTTTGTCCAATGCATATAACCTAATAGGGTTTTAAAGAGGTTTTGCATATACAAATCATTTTGTTGTGAGTTGAATTACTCATCAGCATGGTATATATCAAAGATGTAGTGATCGACGGTAGCGGATGCACATGTATTTGAGAGGGTCTCTTAATCCCACTTGAACATGAAAAGAGAAAAAATTTACCTATAAAATTAAATTTTTACCTATAAAAATTAATTGTATTTTTACCACATGACCCCATTAAATTTTATCAAATACAATTTAGCCCCGTTAAATATTTTTTCTGAATCCAGTGAGAGATCGAAAATGGATCATGAAGCAAGATTTGTAGGATACCTACAACAACATGGTGATGATCGATCGACCTGTTGGATGCATGCATCAATGTCTGAGACAATGAATAAGTCAACTCTTGAAAGAAGGTTTTCTATGACTAATTCTGCAAATAAACAAATACCAAACAACTTATGTAATAATCTCTACTTAGTGTGGAAGATAAATTACAAGTGCAACCTTGTAGCAAGATCGAAAAGCCAAAGGTTCAACTTATGAATATGATGATGATTGTACATTGCAGTACTTGTGGACTATGTGGAGGCGGCAAGATCACATAGTTGAAAAGTGTTCGATTGTAGTTGGACATCTATCCCAACTCACAAGTGGCATCTAAAGGCTAAATCGTACTCATCATGAAAATCACTTATTTGACAAATACACGATTATATCATAGCACCTTATTTCAGGCGGAGATAGAGAACTAAAGAAATGCAAGTCAATAGGGCAAGGGCGCAAGGCAAATGTTCGTCTTCCCACCCCCACCTAATATTTCTATCCCTATCCCCTATCCCGCCCCATTATGCATAATTTTAAAACCATCCCGCCTTACACTCACTTGGTATTCCCATACCTAATTCTCATATTCCTTGCTCTACTATCCGCCTATACCCTTGCCTCGAAAATATATACTTTTAGATGTCTAATAAATTTTCGCATGCACCTTTGTTGCAAATAATACTTATTTGTTCAACAAACTCAAAACCATTTTTTTTAAATGTTGCAAGTTCAATAACAATTTTATATAAAGATGAAGCTTAATTGGTAAAAATTAGTTATTTCTTATTTTATGTGGGTATAAGGCGGACAACATATTTATAAATTATAAGCTTTGGCTATATAGTTCCTCTATTCTCTTTAGGTACTTGCAACAATTAGGATTTCACGTTTGTCAATGTTTAACTTTAGCCACTACTAACTTGAATCATTATTAAGTAACAGTTTTAAAAAGTTGATATATATTATGAGATTATACATTGAAACGAATCTTACAAGATCTCATTTGACTATTTTACCTTACTTACAGAAGCAAATGACAACAAGTCCGGGCAGCTACAATGTTAGATCCATCCCCGCCCACCACTTGGCCCATATCATATACGATTGTCATTTACACCTCACCACATCCCTAGGTTGAATTTTTTGTGGTCTGATAAATTAGCATAGTAAACACGAGTAATGCGAAATTTACTAATGCATTGTTTTGTAAGGAAGCCGTCAGACCTACATTTGGATCGGTCCTTAGACCAGCCTTGTGTGAGCCTTAATTTCAAAATATGAACCCGCATCAGCCAAAACCATTGGTGGTGGGTTGGACCTAAACAACCTTAAAGTACATGGGCCTAGCCCATAAGTCGACAATCCGCCCCAAAGCCATCTTTATCGAAATAGGGACGATTAGAGACGTGGGTGAGTTTCCAATATAACAAGCTCCGTTCATTTTTTTAAGGTAAGACAAAGAAGAAAAGCGTTAGAAACTCTCCTCATGAGAAGGGGTTCGGATTTCTAACACAATAGAGGAAATAATTAGGGCTGACAATCTCTGACCCGACCTGATAACCCGAACAAACCCGACCCGATCCGAACCCGAATAACCCGAATTCGACCCGATTTTACCAAAATTTCATATTTCGTAATAATATTAAGTTTTACACTATTTTTTATTGTTTATAAGCATAACCCGAAATTGACCCGGAATCTGACCCGAATCCGACCCACTGACCCGAATTACCACCCCTAGAAATAATTGGGTTCAAAGACGAGAAAATGCAAAGAGTAATGTCCATTTGACACGATCCATTTGCCCATTGATATTCATTAAGAGAATAGATCTTTGGTTGGAGTACTAGTACTTCGTAATATTGAGTTATAGGACAAAACTTGAAAAGTGCAAAACCTCAAAAAATCGAAGAATTAGAATGGCAAAAGAGATGGAGAAAGCAAAGACACTGATCAAGATCTTTGTTTTCTCTCTCCTTATCACTCTTACATTCTCCTTTCCCGATTTTGGATCAGCTCGTGTTGTTTTCCAGGTTTTTACTCTTCAATTCAATAATACTGTCGATTGTTTTACATTCTATTTATGTTCAATTTTTGCTTCAAATTATTTCGACCCTTTTGTCAAAATTGGTACTCCGTGTTACTAGTAGATCATGATCTTCATTTCTGTCTCATTGTATGCTCCAATTAATTCATGGGAAATTCTGAGGAAAAAAAATATGATGTGGGATTTAAGCAATTTATATATAGGTGACAAGATTTCATACAAGTTCATCTTTTTCTTTGAATAATGTTTCTGGGATGTATACCTAGATCAGAAATTATATTTATACTTTAGTCATTGATTTGTTGATATAAATGTGTTTGGTTTATGTTATTAAATCCTTGTTCTTGTATCTTGAATACTCATGAACTAGTCTGAACTAAATTGTACTGAACTTTTCCTAATTTATTAATCCTAAACCGTACTTATATTAGCGCTAAACTTAACTTATGTGAACTTATCTAAACTTATTTTAGCCTAGAATTGAAGTTGTAGGCCCTATACTGAATCAATTTGAAATAACCCTGAACTGAAACTCATCTTTGTAAGGTGGGAACTGAAAAGAATGAGGCTTGTATTCTCCAACATCATGATAACCCGCATTGTAATTCATATTATTCAATTATCAAACTGTACCTAGATGGCATATTTTCATTTATTTCTTTTTGGTGGCTGAAATTTTGATACATGGAATATGGTTTATGTGTGTAGGTTTGATCGGTTCAGTCTCCAATTAACAGATTTAGGAAAAGCTTAATTGTATTGATATTGTGAATCAGTATTAAGTTTACACAGAGGAAATGATAAACTGGAAACTGTCGATAGACTAATAACAAATAAGACATATCCACAACAAAGCAAAGAGGTGATAGTCCTGGATATTAGCAGAGATTTAGCTCAACAAACTAAGGATTGTCTTATAATTAGTCAATCCTTATTAGGCCTCCTGCTAGATAGACTGCCGTAGAGAAGGTCCAATCTTGAAGACTTGAACCATAGAGCTTACGAGTATAAGTGATATGCAAGTTGGGGTCGGAAAGTTGTAATCTTGTAAGACTTGTTGTGGCATGGCAGTAATGTAGGGGGGAGTAGTATTGTGCGCACATTAGCATGTAGCTCATGATGCCCAAACCTTGACATTAGGGAAAAGTAGAGTTGAAGACCTTTCCACTTCATGTTAGATGGATGACAGACAAGTGACTTTTGTAATGGTATTGGGGTGCACACGGTGTGACACAATAGGTCAGACTAACGAAATGACCTTCGTTGAATGAGTGAAGGACATTTTGGCCAAGACGCCAAGCTTTTGAGGGTATTGTTCAATTTCTCTATAGAGGTTTGCAAAGTATGAGAATTATTTTTAAGATTAACTTAAAAAGAGGGAGATTTTGTGCAAAAGTACTTGGGGTTTTTCCTTTTTGGGTAAGGGGCCACCAAAGTGGTACATATGAGAAGGTTGATTGCCCCAACTATGGTTTGGACTGATGCCACAGGAAACATGTTAGCATGGTGGTAAGATTCATGGTTCAAAAATCTGATTTCAGTTGCGATGAGGAAAAGGTAGCAATGCTGCAAGACCAAATATGATGAGATTGCGGATCATGTCATGACGCAAATTTGATTTTGCTCACGGGCTAACCATGTGGCCCCACCCCTTTCACTTCCCAAATCTTTTTAGGATTTTATAGAAGTTGTACGCTATTAGAATAATTTAAGTAGCATAGTAAAGGATTAGATCCGCTAGTGGAAAGATATAGGTAAACTTTTGACATATCTCTAAACCGGAAGTAACCTTTGACTGAAACACAGGATGCAACGTTCAATATGGGATGGTTTGGGGTAGGAAAGTTTGATTCAGACGAGATTCTAGGTATTTGAAAACCCCCTTGTTGTTATGAACGATTTTGGTTTGGTGTTTCGATTAAATGAAGATCCATTTCGCACCGTGGCCAAACCATTGGAGATAGGTTGAAATGAGGGGGAAGTAGGATTATAGGAATAACAAATTGATTTTTCTTCAGCTTCACCACAAATGAAAGGATATTGGAGGAAGGAGGGATGTTAATCATGTGAGGTGCCATTACTAGTTACCAGCTTACCACCATTGAAGGAGAGGATGATGTAATGGTGATGCTAATTTGGAGCTTGCGTTTCTCCATATGAGTTTGGAAAAAGGAGTTTAGTCTTAGGAGTTAAAGCATTACCGGTTGACGAGGAAGGGGGTTGTGTATAGAAATTTCCTATCTCCATTGGGTGAGAGGTTGGGTTAGTGTTGACGAGAAAATAATGAGAAATAGTGTACTGTTCAGTAATGTTAGTGTTGACCTATGAGAGTTAGTTGCATCCATTTGAATATTTGGAAGAGGAAGCATAGAGGAGAAAGAAAATTAATATGGTCACCATCATTTGTTGGTGTTGACAAAGGTCTTTGATGGTGTAGCCTTGAAGGGAGATCCGTGTAAAGGGAGGGGTGATGGCAGAAGTGGAAAAGGAAAAAGGGATCTAAAGCCTGGACACTTACTAGATTTAAGGAAAGCTTAAATGTATTGAAATTATGGTTTACAGAGAGCAGAAGATAAGTTTAAAATTAGCAACAAAGTAATAAAAAATGAAGAGACATGTACAACAAAGCGCTAAGGCACATGATATTAAGATTATAAATATCAACAAAGGTCCTTGTCACCAATATCATGTGATAGTGCATATTTACATATGCTAGTATATTTTTTGGAAAATAGAGGTATGCTACTATTATGTGTGGGCTTGTGGGGGTGTGATTTCTTGTTTAAAGTTTCCCCATTTCAAATTAAAGCTGATTTGGATGACTTATGTATGTGACCTTACTTTTGATCAAGATAGTACCTTTCATTTTGTTGTGTGTATATGCTTTTCATTTCAGACTTAGGATTGTTACAATAGTTTCAAACATTGTAAATGTTTTTGCTTTTTTTTTTTCCTTCATAGCTATGCTGTTCTTGTTGGTTCTTGCTGCAGACAAATTATGGAGATGTCGAATTTGGTTTCTTTCCTAGTGTGGCCCCCAAAACTGTTGAGCACATTTTCAAACTTGTTCGCTTGGGATGCTATAATACTAATCATTTCTTCCGGGTAATGGTTTGTGCTTGCAATTATGTTTGGTTTGGTTTTTAGCTAAAAATAATTTTTTATACGTAAAATGTTAATGAGTCAAGATTATTTCTTGAGGCAGGTGGATAAGGGTTTTGTAGCTCAAGTAGCTGATGTAGTAGGAGGCAGAACAGCCCCTATGAATGCTGAGCAGAGGAAGGAAGCTGAGAAAACTGTTATAGGTGAATTTAGTAAAGTCAAACATGTTAGGGGTATCCTGTCAATGGGGAGGTAGGTTTAAGAAGCTTGCTTTAGTACTAAGTCTTTTTCCTAGTATGGCTTCTCTGATCTGCTTTTAGTGGATTTATTTGAGTTTGGTTTATGTTCACCAGTGTTTTGGCTTGATAGTTGAATTCAGTTAGACATTGGTTCCTGTAAATTTGATCAAAAAATGTGTTTCAAACTGTCTCGAACCTTTTTATTTTTTTCTTTAAATTTTCATTCGAAACAGTCTCTAGTTTTTTTTTTTTTTTTTTTTTTTTTTTTTTTTTTTTTTTTTTTTTTTTTTTTTTTGAAAGCAGTCTCTAGTTTTTATAGTATATTCTAAGGAACAAACAAATTTTCTTCTTGGTTCTTCGATATGGAACTTTCTAAGCTGTTATAATTAGTTTCATTGTCACTATTGTTGCACTGTATTTTTTCCTTGGGTCTCATAGTGATGATGTTATAGCTATAATTGCTTGCTGCAGGTACGATGATCCAGACAGTGCATCATCTTCCTTCTCTATACTTCTCGGTGATGCACCTCATCTTGATGAAAAGTATGCAATCTTTGGCAAGGTCATCAAGGGTGATGAGACATTGAGAAAGCTAGAGGAACTTCCTACTCGAAAAGAGGGCATATTTGTAATGGTAATATTCTATACACTGTCTTGTGTAGCTGTGTTGTTTAATCAAGTTGTCTGGAAGCGCTTGATGAACTGTAATTAATACTGCCTGATCTATTACACCTGTGATGTTAATGAAAAAAGAAAGTCTTGAACGAGACTATCTCACACTAACTACCTGTAAGGCCTTAAATGTTACTTAAAAAGTAAGAAGTCAGTCCCTAAAATAAATGTGACCTTGGTATCACAATAATTTTGCAAGATTGTCTTACCTATGACTTTGCCTAATGAAGATAATTTGAACTTCAGCTACCTATAATCTTGAATGAGAATTACCTTCTTTTTTTTTTCTTTCTTTTTTTTTTTCCTAAGAAAAAAGTAGGTGACATGCCCTTAACAAATCTGAATAAATGTAACACACTAACATCCAATTAGAAGCAGAAGTGTGCCTCACCTCTTCTTATGCTTTATGGTGAAACCATTGACAATATAATTTTAAACTTAAGCGATAAGAATTTGTGTAAAAATTCTACATTATAACACTTAGGGCATGCTTGGGATAATAAAGGGGCAATGGCAAAATAATAAACAGAGAATGAAGAGGTGGTGATACATGAGATGTAGTAGTTCTGTGTAAATACTAAGGAGAAGGGAGGAGCGTGTAAATTACCCTCATTTTAGGGATAATAGTTGCCCATCGTCTGCCTATTTCCCTTCATTGTCGCTACATTATGACTTTGTCACTCCCTAACGCATTACCTCCAATCCAAGCGTGCCATTAAACTTTTAAAGTGTTGGAAATTGCTGCACTAGCTCAAAAGCCTGTAGCTTCAATAAAATTCTGTTGGACAACAGTACTTTTGAATTGAAAATTTTGAGCAGACCATTCAGCATATTGATTTGACAGGGAAACACTGATTTAGCTTATAGAATGTATGCCTGGAATAATTATTAAAAAAATTGATAATTAAATTGTAACTATTCTTGCTGTTAACCCCCAGAGTCTGGCACCAAACCAGTTTAACCAACTTTCAATAGATAAGCTATTTAATTCTACATCTTTTAAGTTGTGGTTAATTGAGAAAGTTTCAGATGATCTCTCTAATATAGCTGCTTATAATTACTTCGTACAAAATATCGTGATGATGTATTTATATCCCCAAAGTACTTATTTGCAAACAAACAAAAAAAAAAATTCTCCAAGTAGCTGGGTTTTAGGAAGAGATGGCTGTTGATATTTTCAGCTGGATCTGTTTCTATCCTGAAAAGCTACTTTTTACTATTTTTGAGGGTTTTGGTATGGATCACTGTGGACATGTGAAATATATTTGCCTGTATATCCATTAGTGGTGCAAAGCATGTTAAGAGCACAACCATCATTGGTGTCATTAGTTGGGTATGTGTGTATTTTAGGAAGCTGTTTATATTAGGAAGTTGGGTTATATTATGAATGCAAGGCAAATGGGATTAATTTTATTTATTTTAATTAGATAGGCCTTGTGAGTCATGCTTTGTTAGGTTGCATTAATAATATCCTTATGTGAATAAAAAAGGTGCTAGGGCACAAATAAAAGTAAATATATGGATCAAACCCACAATGTTAAGAAAAAGAGAACTGTTGAAAATTGACTATACTTCTTGTGTCGCAGGATAACCCATGAAATTTGATCGTGCAAGTCCGGTTGTGTGGTGATGGTTATGAATAGTATCGGCAAGATTGATCCGCTTGGATCTTTAAACTCAACTTCCTAAATTACTTACCTACCCAACTAACTTCAATAATCACAATTTTCATGTTAGTCTTGGCTACTGTGAGCTATAGTTTCTGGGGCAGCTGTTTATATTCATATGTCCTAAATCTATCACACTGAGATTGTGGCGTACTGACGTGGCTATCAAATCTCAAGCCACCATAAAAAGGAAGATTTTCAATTAGTAATTAATATTCATGAAAAGTATATAATAAATTATGAGTGTAATACATTACATTTTTCACATCCTCTTTATCTGAAAAATGAGTATACCTTCCTTCAAAAAAAAAGGGTGAGGGTGGGTGATCTTACAATAAAGGATTCAATCCAGCCACAAGTTTCCCTATTGATACCTTTGTTACTACCTTTTATTAAAATAGGAATGGATCACTGTAACTTAAAATATTCTACTACAAGTGTAAACATAGTATAATCTAGCTGGCAGCTTAGATACGTACTTTAGAATGGACTATATCCAAGAGAACCATATACAAGTTGTTTTGAAGATGGGGATTGGCGTGGGGTGAATCTCGGTGGTATCTTGGCGTTGAACAACCATTTTAAAAGCTGTTTGGGGGTTAGTTTTTTAACCATCTTGGGGGTCAAGCTGTTGCCCACCTTGTAATAAAAAATATAACAAAGGACTCATGCACTCTACTTGAGACTAAAAACATGCAAAGGTTTCATAGAATGGCCATGTCTTAAATTTGACAACGTACTGATTGAAGATGTTTTTAAAGACAGATTAATACCGTGTTAGCACTAACGATCTTCATGGCATAAGGGGGAAGAAATAGACCTTGCTTTTCATTGATTAAAAAACCTTGCTTGGGAGGGTAAGAGTACAGATGGCTCTGGGCCATGTCGGGTCGTGCCTCGTGCCAGGTCCATGTGCTGTGGGGTTAGTTGGGGCCCGACACATGGCCCGACGAACGAGTTTCGTGTCGTGCCGTGACGGGCCAAAATTTTCAAAAGGTTGGCACGTGCATGGCCCATGCCCACGTGCCATCGTGTCCGGCTGTGCCTGTCTTGCGTGCCTAAGCAAAATTGCATTGATTTTAGCATGCTTTGTCATGCCGGGCCGGTTGTGTCGTGCCTTATCGTGCTTCTCCCATATAAAGGCGGTCCAGCCGGCCCACGACCCACACGCACAATACCGTGCCGTGCTTTTTTCATGCTGGGCCATGCCGGGCCGGGCCAGTTCCATCTTTAGGTAAGAGTAACTACTATGGGATTCCTTTCATTTTAAAGAAATTTTTTGGAACAATGATAGTGTTTAAAGCCGTGTTTACTACAAAAGGGCCGAGCTTGGATGTTATTAGCTTATCCCAACCTAATATGGTTATGAGCTCATGCACTCACTGAAGACCAAAAACATGCAAAATTTTCATAGAAGGTCAAGTCTGAAATTAGACAACATTATGGAGTCTAGAATGTAGATTCTACCGTTATTACTGAGTCTAGGAGTCTAGGTCAAAGGTCAAGAGTGATGCTTGGTTGAACTTATATCCAAGTCCTATCAACGTGGATAATTCTTATCTATGCTATTGATCTTTGCTTATGATGAATTTTTGACGTCATTTATATTGACTTTTATGATTTAACCTTGGTTTTATTTCTTGCCCTTCTTTTCAACAGCCTCTGGAGCGGATCACAATTTTGTCTTCTTACTACTATGGTGAGGATTGATATGCATCCCAGGAAGTCTTCTATTCGTTTTTGTCTTTTCTTCTTCTGTAAATTATAATCTTTTCTCAATACAAAAGGAGTGTCTATACTACTTTCCATATTGACTATAAATGTTTTTTTTTTTATTAATTTATTTGCTAGAGGTGAATAGTGAAACATGTGAAGAAGATAGATCAAATCTAAGAAGACGTTGGCCGCTTCATTTCTTGAAATTGAGAGATGGGTAATATGACTCTTGATGAACATCTTATTGAATTCTGTCGCTTGGAGTTTATCTTCATTCTGAATATGTGATGAATACTTACGCCTGCCTTAATTTTACTTATATCATTGGCAGAGAATGAAGTGCTTCCCATAGTTCAGTAGGAATAATGACAGGTCAGTGATGTTTTGACTACTACAGATGGCATTTTGTTGTCTTTCATTTGCGATGTGTGAAAAGTTCAGAAATGATTTCTTATTTTGTTTTTTTTGGTGAAAGATGATTTCTTATTTTGTGAGCCTTATTAAGTTTCATATACTTGTTTTTACATCTGTTTCTTGGCTCCTCACATGTATGTGTGAGCATCTAGCTGTCCACATGTCTTATTCAATTGTGTCCATGGAACTTTGGTATTTTTTTGGTCACAACAACTGTCCCAGTCTTTTTATTTGGAAATTGACTTCTTGCGGAGTTCTTCACCTCTGCTGGTTCTTGTCTGATGCTTTAATAAGTATTTTGCAAGTTCTGATTCACCCCGATAGCACTCAGATATCGGGGTGTGGTGAGGTTCTGTATGAGAAGTATTTTGCGTATTAGGGACCTGTGCATTATTGTAGCAGTGCTCCTATTCCTGTTATTAAGTATTTGTAGGAGTTGAATAATAAACTCTAGTCTAAGAAAAGTGAGTTTTTCAAGACTGCCTAGATAATAGTGAATTATATTTAAGGAACGATGAAAAATTTACAATTTCTTCTTTCCCCACAGCAACAATGTCAAAGCTTTAAACCTTTATCCCTAAAGGATGGGGTCCTCTGCATAAACCAAGAATTTATTTCCCGTGGTCGTCCTCAAAGATCTTCTTCCCTTTGACCTGGTGCTGTTTGATTTAACAAACCTTTTTATTTCACATAATTTTTTACCGCCTCCATTCAAGTCATAGTTGGTCTACCTTTTTCTTTATCGATGCATCTTCCAACATCAATCTATATTGCTACATGAAATTCCTTCTTTTAAAGGTATTATTTTTGACGTGATCACCCTTTGGACTTACAAATTTTAAGATTGGAAGACTTGCCCTTGTTTAAATTTTTGGTGGTAATTGCACCAAAATTGAATGGATGATGCGGGTTTTTTTTTTGTGGCCTAGAGCTGGGGATGAGAGGAAGGAATGAAGGATCATCTTTTGAGCTGGGATTTGATGGGTTGTTCTAAGACAGAGGGTGGATTGGGGTTTTGAAGAATTGTCTAAAAAATCTTTGGGTTTTGACGGAAAAATGGTGTTGGAGGTTTCCTCTAGAATATCAGGATTTGTAGCACAATGTCATCAAGAGCAAGTGCAAATTGTGTGTGAAACTGAGAACATGTGGGATGTTCAAAGTCTTGTCCCATAGAATCCATTGCCCTTGGAAATTTATTTTACAAGTGGCTTTTCTAGTTACTCTTTTGGAGTGGAAGATAAGGAAAATGGAAACAGAGCAGCCTGTTAGTTCACAGTTTCCACAACTTTACTGCTTATCAATGTTGCAAAATGCTTCTTTAGTGGTAATGTGTAGATCTTGTGGTGCTGAAAACAACCCAATGACAGAGGTAGAGAACTCACCTTTATGTGTGACCTCTTGCTTAAAAGTTTATGGACATGATAATCCTAGAGTGTGTTTGGAGTTTCATTTTGGGATCTTTTCTTGCATGTCCTTCCTTGTTTGAATCACCACCTTAAATATCCTGTGTTTCACCTGTTAAACAAAGGTCCCTCTTAAAGTGTAAGCTTTTCAATAGCGCTAGCTTTGGGAAGGATCAAAGCGAATGATATGCTTCATAACCATCAACTGAAGTTGGCTATCTCACCATATCTATTCTTGCTTGGCTGATGAGTCACGCTCACATGTTTTCCTATTTTCCTTCAATGTGAACTGGTAGCTATATTTAGAAAGGACTTTGTGATGTATAACAAGGAGACTTGGGTGTGTTCTTGGAACATTTAGGAATAGTTACAGTACAGATTTATGATTTTAGCTGGGTAAAGGAGAAGTTTCAGGGTAATCCTTCTAATTTTTTAATGATGTCACTATCCCAAGGGATTTGGTTTGGGATGAAGTGACTTTGTTAGCTTTTGTTATGGGCTAAGGCAGCCTGGGCTTTCTCAAATTATTCTCTGCGGGTGATATACAGAGGTATTGGGCTAATCTGTGGATTTAGAGTTACTTTATGAGGACACCTTGCATTCCTTCTGTATTATTCTTTCTAAGGTACAAATCTTGGAAGTTGATATGGATCTAAGTGACACCTTTTTGTGGATGGGAACGATGGAAGAATTTGCGTTATAATTAACATCTTTATGTCTCAATATTTGAGAATCTAAACTCAAAACTCTGAATTTACTCTTGAATCTGATCATCTAGTTAGGTTTAAAACAAACTGGAAGTTGTACTGTTGGTTTATTCCTTTCTTCAACATGTAGCAAGTCCATAAGTGATTCATGCAACATCATACTAGAGTATTATCAATTACTCTGTACTTACGTAATTTATTTCTCGAGCCGTCAAATTATGTGTATAATGGGTTACCACTGGTTGCTGATAGGTGGGCTCACTTTAATGTGGATGATATTGATTACTGAATGCCCCTTCTTTAAAGGTAGCACAACAGTTAAAAGATTCTCTTCACGAGATTACAATTTAACTTAATAACTGATCAAACATGTATGAAGTATATTTTTTTCAACCGTAGTGGGCATTTTAAATGAGCCACTAAAGTTCCTTCAAAAAAAAAAAAAAAAAAAAAAGCCACTAAAGTTGGACTAGTTGATACTCAAAATTAGCTAATTTATCTGCTGCTCACCTGACCCTAGATAGACACATGCTTGCAAGGTTGATAGAGAAAAACGTGATGTTTCTGCATATAAATGCTTGCATTCTAATTGCTTCCATCAGGGCTAAGTAACACAAAGGTTCTGTAATTCTTGAACCTCCGCAACCTTGCCTAAGGTGGTACCCATACTGGGCAGTTGTTTGGCCATTAAAGTACTTAATATGAGTGATTTAATGCTATAGTGTTGTTGACTATATTAATAATAAACTAGAACATCCTGGTTCAGTTTACTTGAATTATATTTTGACTGGCTGTACTGCTCAACTAAGTAAGGTTTTTGCCTTCTAGGTAGCTATGTGACACATTAGATCAGATGAAATCAATATCAAGAAATGGTATGGATAAATGTTGGGCTTTCTGAGGTGACTGAAAATAGGTATAAGAGTGATATATTAGTTCATACTCTACTGTAGCAGTGAACTACCTTGGGTAAGGTGATTTTCTTTGGTGCCATATTGAAGCATGTAATCTTGATTGAGTAAGACTAAGGAAACGAAGCTTCATGGTGTATTGTCTGTTATGTTCTCTTCACCCTTACACAAGGCTGAGACACTTTATTGAGATGGTGGGTGTAAATGGTTTGATATTATCTTAGAAAAGGTTCTCAGCACATTGATTTCTTAAGTTATTCATATTGTGTCACTAGTTTCAATAGTCGGTATAGTATTAAGGAAGGCTACAGAGTGTGTAGTGTATTGGTGATCTTGGATCACTGGGAAGGCTGTTTTTGCAACGTTGGGAGGAATTTGTTCATTGTAGAACTGTAGAAGGTTTTAACTATTGGAATTGCATGACATTCTGATAATATCTGAGATTTGAAGCATACAGTAGAGGAGACTAAAGAGGAAAGCTCTTGAACAGGCATTAAGGAAGTGCATCTTAGAGAGGCAGGAAGACCTATATAATAATTGCAGTATAATGTTAGTGAGTAATATATTTGAAATTTTAATTTTGTATGTGATGCATGTTTTTTCACTAGTCAGAAAATCAATGTCTTGTGTCATGAATTTGTATTGCTGTTACTAGTCTTAAGACTCTTTACTAATACATTTTGTGCTGAAAGCTTAGAAAAGCTAAACCTAGACTTTCTTTGTAGAGTCTCCTGTTGAAGGTATATCTTCCTGTATTACAGTTAAATTTTGTAGGGCAGTTGTTTTTCTCTTTCTCCTCTCTGCCGAAACTCTGGTGCAAAGTTCGTAATTTAGAATCAACCTTCTTATGCTCTGTCTCTGGTGCTATTGGAGGTCACTTTGACTGCACATGCTCGTTAGCTAACTACTGCAGTTCTTATATAATTAGCAATATGGATGATCAAAAAGTGAAATGTTAAAGCAATAATAGTTGACGCCAAATGAAATTCATAGACATGATGAAGCTGTGTCTTGTTACCTCGGACGAGCTTGCTGACTTGCTATGCTTCATCGTAGTTTTAGCCTTTTAGGCCCTTCCATCCTTGTTCATCAAAATACCGTGTTCTTCTGAACGTCCGGTCAACATACATGATAAGTACAAACTGTTTTCATCATAATTATGTGTTACCATACTTGGAAAAATATACTGACATTTTTTTACTGAAACTATGGTGTTTGTCTTGTGGTTTGCTTACTGCTAACTTGACTTGCCAGAAATGAACAGTTTAATGTTGGCAGTCAGATCTAATCACAGTCGCTTCTTCTACCGTGCCTTTTTGTTCTAACCTTGAGTTGATTCCTAGTTGATATGGAGTAGGATTTTGTGGGGTATGAAAGCATCAAGCTATCTTGTGATGGACCAAGCCTAAAAAAAATTTAGCATATTTTTCTTTCAAAATATGTCGACTGTTGTCAGCGTCTGAAAGTTGAGTCAGTCACTCTGTATGCATGCGTCAACATCAAAGTCAGGTCTTTCTCATGTCATTACTGATCTGATTTGTTTTGTAATTTCAGAAAAAAGGATTGTAGACTACAATGCTCGGATTTGGCGATGAGTTTCCTACACAGGTAATTGTCCAAGTTAAATTCCTATTCCGAAAACTAGCAAGTAGCAAGTTATCTACATGGATGTCGAAATGTCAAGTAAATAGAGATGAGGATTGAGAGTGAAATGAGAAACGGGAAATAGAATCACAGCCCTCAGAACCAAGCATGTCGCGTAGAATTTCTTCTGAAACAAGACATGTGCATCTTTTCAAGCAAGTGGTATCGGCTTGATTGTCTTGAGGTTGCCATCTTGTTGCGAAAAGTAGAAACACCAACACTCACTCAATCTTGAATCAGAGATATACTCGTATAGTCGTATTAGCGTTGCATCTTGTTTAGCTTGCCCTGTATATGAAGTCAACCTGGACTGTATAGTATCACCGTTATATTCATGTCTTGTTCTTGTTGTCAGTAGACAACTTCAACTGCAGTGGGGCTATCTCTTTCGTCCTCTTAGTGAAACAATTGACACTGATATGATTCTCTCTTTTATTCTATATTTTGATGCTTTTTTATGTAGGGAAGTTTTCTGGTAAACAGTGGGAGCACATTATGGTTTGGGTCGGGGACTCGGAGGTTATATTATTTTTACCATATACTTGATTTATCCTCGAGGAAAATTTATGCTTTAAGGATAGATTTAGGGTTTGTTCTCATACGTTGAAATTCAATTCAGTTCAGCTCAGTTCAGTTCAGCTCCTAATTTCCTTCTCTTATAAATTATTCATTTCAGTTCATTTCATTTCAGTTCAGCTCAGTTCAGTTTAGCTGAATTCATTCAATGAGAACAGGCCCTTAGTAGGCTTTGTTTGTTTTGATAGAAAACATTTTCACGATTTTCTCATTTTCACGATTCTCCCAACTTAGGCTCTGTTCACTCCACCTTAAAAAAATGTATTAAGTAAAAATAATTTCAGTGCAGTAAAAAATAATTTCAATTTGGCAAAAATAATTTCAATTTAGTAGTTCAGTCCAGTAAAAATTATTTCAGTTCAACAAAAGTAAGATGAAGTGAACGGGGCCTCAGATCGAAAACCATCTTCCTTTTATATACGAAGTAGAAAGAAATGCCAAAATTTTCTCACTACTCCGCAATTGTTTAGAACATGGGTTGAGCTAAGTTCATTATGCTAAACAATACGAAGTACAAAATATAAACATAATAGTATTACTCCCTCCGTTTCATAATGTTAGTCTCATATACTATTTTGGGCGTTTCAAAAAGATCTACCCATATTTAATATATTTCATTTATCACTTGATTTTTTTGGAATTAATTGGTTGTAGATTGATGACATGACTCCAACTAAGGAAATCTTTATCTTAAATTATGCAATTATGACTTGTGTTTTCCTAATAATAAATCAAAAAAGTAAAATAAGCTAATAATTATGAATTATGTTGTATTTTAATGTTACATTGCAAATATATTTCTTTTCTTACTTTATGTGGTTGATTCCATATAGGACTAACATTATAAAACGAAGGGAGTACTTTTTTTTTTTTTTTTTGAGGGAACACAATAGTACAATCCCTTTTGCATGCCCCCGATTTACAATAATTTTATTGTACATCGAACATTTTGCGAAAAGTGACCCTTTTTCGTATAAAAGTGACCCTTTTTCTTCTACAAAAGTGACCTTTTTTTTTCACAAAAGTGACCCCTTTTATTCACAAAAGTGACCCTTTTTTATTCACAAAAGTGACCTTTTTTTTTTTACAAAAGTAATCCCTTTTTTTTTCACAAAAGTGACCCTTTTTTTTTTACAAAAATGACATTTTTTTCAACAAAAGTAACACTTTTATTTCACAAAAGTGACCCTTTTTTTTCACAAAAGTGACCCTTTTTTTCACAAAAGTGATTTTTTTCACAAAAGTAATTAAACTACATATGCAAAACAGAGTATCAAAATCAACTAAAATAAACACAAAATTAACAATAGTGACCCATATTTACTGAAGTAGGAGAGTGTTTCAGAAGACATGATAAACCGCCTATTATCGGCCGTTGAGAGCTTGAAGATGATGATTGCGAGCTCGTTGAAGGAGATCTACCATAAAGTAATTAAGACAATAAACTTGAAAATCGAAGGGATATAATAAATGAAAGGAAGAAAAAACTTGGATCACCCAAAAAGAATGGAAGAGAAACTCTGAGTAGATGAAGAGGAGAGAGAAAAAAAAGGAGAGAGAAGTTCTAGTATCTGAAAGTGGGAAATGAGAATGAAGGAGCGAGAAATATGTTTAACTTGGGTGGGTGAGTAAAACCTTCCTTTTCTTTCCGCCGCCATTCAGTAAAATACTGTACACCGGGTTTTATTAAATATTTGTGCACAATAGTATTACCATAAGTCCATGATAACATCGACCTTGTGTTTTTTTTTTTTTTTTTTTTTTTTTTTTTTAAGGGCGCAGAATTAATCTTGATTGTGATTATGTGATTTAAATGAAATGCTTTAAACTTAAACCATGCTAAGAATTATGACCCGAACTTAAACTAATCTGACCTAATAGTACTATTATTAATTAATTAGTCATAATAAGTTCGTGGATAGTAACTTTGACTGATCTAAAACCTTAATAAACCAATAAAACCAAATGAATTCTCACCATAATACAAGATAACAATAGAATTGACATGAATTAAACCATTATGAATAATTGGTTTGCCACCTGATAGCTTTCAAAGTAACAAGTTTTGATTGAAATGCTAAATGTTGACTTGTTTGATCATTATTTAACATTAAGTTCCAACTATTGATTAAATTTGTTATTCAACCCTACTTAATTCGTCAATATTCAAATTAAATGAGTTATTAGCACTATAGATTAACAATTTAGCACGACTTTATATTAAGAAATTTAGTTATTACAAGCCTACATGTGGCCCCTACATGTCTAATGACTTGCAGAGTTTATGAAACATTAATTTGATTGTTTATAAAACATAATCTAGCTGCTGCAGTTGTCATTATCAAGGATCATTTTGGTTTAGTTATTGCAAATCATTTCTATAATTTTAGGTCTAACTCAGTTCCCTTTTGAGGTTGTTTTGTCTTGCGTATTGGCCTTCTTAAAATAATGTCGGCAATATTTTAATTAAAGGTGATAATCTTAATTATTAGTGATTTATAATTTGTAGGGTTAGCATATTCAATTATCCGTTGAAAAGTTAACTTTTTATAATTGGTGTTTAGGCTCTTCTCTATATATTTAATTTTTCGAACATTAAGAAAATTACGTGCACACAACTAGGGTATTCTTTCCATCATATTGTAGGTCGTTAATGTACGAAGTATACTTCAAAGTAATAACACTTGAACAGTTGCACAACATTATACCCACCAAGAGAATTTTTTGCTTATTTGATGATTAAATGAGCAATAATCATTAAAATGAACCGATAATACATTTAGGTGCACCGTGTATCCAGGTGTACATAAGAAACTCTCGATATCTTTTACCATAGAAAGAGCAAGTGATGATAAATCTAGAAGATTCAAATCATTGATGCGAATGTGTTATCCCCACCATCAATCCAACACAGGAACATTATCTCAAAAATCCAATGGCGGAATTGACATACTTGTATTATTTCTTCTTTTCTAGATTTATATTTTGGATAAGTATATTGTACGGGAAATGCCTGCTAAAAAAAAAAATCAAATAAAATATAGCTGTCTAATTGTCTAAACATATTATGAAATCAATCTAAACTGTACTTATTCTTACTTTTATGAAAATATTTCAATTGTAATTTGAATTAAGATATCCCTTATCAATGTTAATCTCATTATTCTTGAACTTAATTATCATCTTATTGTAAGCTCTGTCCTTTAAAACTCATTTTCACCTATAATTTCTACTTAGAGTTAATAAGGGCTAAGCTACTCAATTCAATTTACAGCTTAAGTCATAATAAGTTCTTATGTTAAAAATAAAAAATGTTGTAATAAGTTATGATAAGTTTAAACAAGAGTTTGAAAGGACTTCGGACAAGTTTAAGTATGTTCATATAATAAGTGAAACTTAGGTGCTTATTCGATGTATTGAATGCATCCTCATCGAAATAATTAAAAATTTGTTAGTGATATAGGGATTACTTAGTCAGTATTTCATGGTTTACTTCATCGATGTCATAAGGGTTATTTGGTTAGTGTTATACGGGTTATTTTGTTCTTTAAAAGCGGTCGCATGGTGTGGTCAGTCGCATACAAAACACACTGATTCCTTTCACATCCACTTTTCCATTAAAATATAAATTCATAATCTTTCTTAAAAAAAAAAAAAGTTCATAATTAACCTAAAAATAATTTATCATCAAATAGTCTAAAATAATTTATCAATAATTATCATGATAAGTGTTCAAACTAGTTTTTAGCGGAATGAGTGTCTGTTCTCTTCAACTTAATTTCAGTTCAGCTCCAATCAGTTCAGTTCAGCTCCAATTAGTTCAGTTCCTAATTTCCTTCTCTCATAAACAATTCATTTCAGCTCTATTAAATTTATTTCAATTTAGTTCAACTCCAATCAGTCCAGTTCAGTAAATCAAATCAGGCCTTGAGTACAAGATAAGAAGAGTTGTGGATAGCAAACTGAGTACAAGATAAGAAGAGTTGTGATCTTGAGGACATTATCACCCTTTTTTTTTAGGAAAAAAAAAAGTGAAATTAATTAGTACAATTTTTTTCTTTTTGACAGCCAAAAAGTAATTACGTACTACATTATTTCTTCGATTTATACACTACCCGGCCCAATGTTCATAACTATCATTTTCGAATTCAAATCATAAAAAAAAAAAATAAAAAAAAAAAAAAAACAAACAAACAATAAAAACAGTAGTACAAAAAAAAGTAAATAATCACATTGTCTGACCAAATGACATTTGACAAGTTCTGTTCACATCCTTAAAATACTTTACTCGCTGCTCATATCAATCAATTTCATAGAAAGTAATTGTACCCTAAAACAGAAGATAACTAACTGAGTGAACCCCGCAATAATTACCTGAGTCAAGTCAATAATGGGTTGGCTCGCTTGCATAATCTAGGTTGAATGATAAAAAGGTTTAAGTAGAGAATTGCATTTTGCATTTCATGTTGGATTGAATTGCTTTTAGGTTTATCAAGGGCTAGATGAGAGTTCAACTTGAATTTCGTGTTTTCAAGTCCACGTTGGATGTTGAGTTTACTTAGGTTGGGTGTGGGTCTAATTTGAGTTACTGATTCACGGGCCATGACTGGTATCGAGTTAATTTAAAGTCACATGAAGTATCGAGTTAATTTAATCCTATATATGAAGATTAATTAGTTTAAATAATCATGGCATAATAATGGATCTATTAATAACCCTATCCATGATCGGAAGTGTTGGTATATATTTTGAGTTTTTTACCATCACAATAAATGTTGACGAGAGACTTGTGTCAACAAATTTTGAACAGAGAGAGTAATTAAGGTAATTTTTGTAAACTTA